ACATTTGCCATTTCTCGTACGGTTGCAACTCGGGGGGGCTTTCCTCGCTCATCCATGGATAGTATCCACTGGGTAAGAGTTATTTCTTCAGTAACAGACAGTTTTCGATTCCTTTCCTGCGCATGCTCTCGCGTCGTACGGCCTTTCAATCGATCGTGTAATGTGGAATGGGGAACATCATATAACACAGAAGCTTTTCGCAGACTTGAGACTTGGCCCTTCTTATATGCTTGAAGAGCCAAAAGAATCTTTCCTTCCTGATTGGAAGCTTGTGGGAGTCTTGAGGTAGGCATTTTTGTTGATGGGAGTGGAGGCGCGTAAGCGTGGTGAGAAGTGTCCGACTAGGTCATTTGTCCGACTAGGTTATAGATTACGTTACAACCCCTCTTAAGGCTTTATATATTGGCACCCTATAGGAGCCCCTACAGGCTTTACACTGGCACCCTTAAAAGGCTTCATATTGGCACCATATAGGCACCCTTATAGGCTTGCATGGGCTCCCCTATAGGTTTTATATAGGCCTACATTACAAGGTGTGCGGAGGGCGGAAGGTCCGGAGCATTTAGGTATAAGCTTTTAGGTGTACTAGGCTTTATATTAGGCTTTATATTAGCTTATACAGGCTTTATAATGGCTCTCTTATGGGCTTCCTAAGAGGCTTTATAAAGGTTTACATTTATTACAGGCTGGCGGAGGGCCGAAGGCCCGGAGCATTTATAGGCTTCAGTAGGCCTAGGTAGTCTAACCCTTCAAGCCTATACGACGTTCAGAGTAAATTGTTAGGCAGGGTTTGTTTGACATATTATTAGAAGAAAAAATAACTTCCATGGTGTAGAGTAGATGCATGTACCGTACATTATGGATTGATTGATTATTAATTAACTACTGTTGTACTGTACTCCGTACTGTACGAACTGATAAGCAAGCAGGTACCGCGTACGGAGTACATATCTATAGGAACCAGTTTTGGTTGACTGCTTGCTTGTTGATATTTTTTCATCTTTATCTTTTTAGGTCTTGTGATTCTTGTGTACATACAGTGTGGCTTGGGATCGAGATCTGACATTTGCTTACTTGCCTACTGTCATCATCATCCAGATAGATAAACCTATCTATCTAACCGACACCTAAGATACTGAATAAATAATACCAGCTGTCGCATGTATCTACATCATTATATTCGCATACAACATGTGATCTGTCAAAAAAAAAAAGAGATGCAGAGATGATAAGGGAAAAAGAATAAGTACTCATAGATATCCTAGGATGGCATCACTATCGTGACTGCTCCTGCAGATACTTATAAACAACAGAAAAGTCCTTCCCCCTGTACGCATCCTCCACTGCGTCGTACAGTTTCTGAGCAGTCGCGGCTAGCTCCAATGGCGTGCCTGACTCCTGCGCCGCGGCGATGGCCAGCTTGAGATCCTTCTTCATCAGGCTGATGCCGAATCCTCCCTCGTAGCCGCGCGAGGCGGGCGCCGTCTCCACGACGCCCGGCACCGGGTTGTTGACCTCGCTCGGCCAGCATCGTCCTGTCGATGAGTTGATCATCTCGGCCAGTACCTTCGGGTCCAGACCCCATCGGATGCCCAGGTTCAGGGCTTCCGCCGTCGCGATGTTGTTGATGGCGAGAAGGTAGTTGTTGGCCAGCTTCCCGCTGACTCCGGCTCCCTGCTCGCCCAGATGCCAGGCGTTCTTGCCCATGAGCAACAGCACCTTCTTGACGCGTTCGACCAGCGAGCCGGTCTGCGACGACGCTCCGAACATGAACGACAGCGTGCCCGCCTTTGCGCCGACGACTCCGCCCGACATGGGCGCGTCGACGAAGCGTCCCTGCTTGGTCGAGTGGACGGCGTTGGCAATTTCCCTCGACGAACCCGGGTCGATGGTCGACGTGTCGATGAACAGACGCTCCTGCTCGAGCGGCGGCAGGTCTCCGTCTTTCAGGATGCTGTGGAAGACGTCCTTAACGTGCTTCGGCTCGGGCAGGCTAGTGATGATAGTTTCCTAAACACGAAACAAATGTCATCAGCAAGAAACAGGAAGAAACTCGAGCGTACGTATTTGGCAAGATTTTTTTCTCTTCATTCGATATCGTTAACCAAAACTTAGTCAAGACAGCCCTTTTCATTGACGATGCAATATCCCGATAGACACTGTCCAGACTTTCTAAACTACCAGCCTCAAGTCGCGCTACGCTGGCGAACTGGCGAAGCAGACCTCTCAAGAGAACAACGACATGCATTCTACACTCGGGAATTATAAAAAAAATTCCCTTACTTACCGCCTTCTCTGCGACTTCTCTGGGATTGTCGGCAATTTCTACGGAGCCCGCCGTCTTGGTCTCCTCCACGAACCGCTGCATGACATCCTTGTTCACGTCACGGATAATCAGCGTGTCGGAGGCGGGGATCTTTGCTCGGAGGTTCTTCGCCATGGGATAGCCTGTAGCACGAGTCAGATTATCGGAGAAGACTCCTTAGCTGGAAAGAATCGACATCATCAGGTGCAGCTGCTCCGCTGCTCCGGAATGTAGGCACGCGACAGCGACACCACATAAGTACACGGCGGGGAAGTGAAACGTGAGACAAGAACACAACATACCCATGTTGCCCAGCCCAATAAAACCCCAGGTAGCATCTCGTTGCAAAGTCGTCGAGAATGCTCTCCGAGAGGACCGACACAACGCTGGCGCTGGCATTGACAGTCTCCGCAGTGGGAGACTCCGGGAAGTTGCGCTCATTTTGCAATGCAATGCAATGAATAGAGCCGTACCAGACGACTGTCGTAGGAATTGGACTGCGCTGTGGCAGGCCAGAATCAGGAGAACGGAGGAAGTCGCAGAGTGAGTAGACGTGTGAGAAGCGTGGGGAGGTAGATGGAGGAGAGAGCAGGTGGACGACGGAGAGGAATGCAGGATAGGCACGCCAGCTGCAACCCAGAAGAAGACAAGCTCCTTCTTGGCTACAGGTGACCGACGAATAGCAAGGAACGCGTCGTCTCTGCCGTTCACACTGCTTAATTAGCTCGTTTATTGACAATATCGAGGGAAAGAAGCGTCTTGATACCGTGGCGCAGGAACAAAGCACACCCGATTCTTGCCGAGGTCGTGACTCCGCCAAAGCAAGGCAGCCCAGAGTAACTGCTGGCAGGGCATGCAGCATCAGTGGGCATGTAACCCTCGACCCACTGCTGCTGTCAATCCCCAATGCGGGGAAATGGAGGCGTGGGCACGGCTGGTGACGGCAGGCGATGCCCCGCGGAGGCACTAAGAATGACGATCCGAGGATTGGCGGGCCGAGTCCCGCGGCAATCACCGGAAAAAGAGGCGGTTAATTAACAGACCTTACGGAGTACAAGTTACAGAGTACCTAACTCTGTCCATTGCTGTGTGAATGGGCAATGACGTTGGCTAGCTTGACGCTTCGAAATTGACTGTTCGGGCAAGCCATCTGAGCTACAGACAGGCCAAGTCGCAGAACACCAGGAATCCAGTACACTACAGTTCAGTGCAGATTATTTATTATTAACCATAGATGTATTTACTGCCTACAGCATCTTCGAAATCTATAAGATAGAGGAAGAGCAACGTAGGCCAGCACCATATGCCCACATGCTCCCAACAACTGCCAAGACGAAAGCATAAAAAAGCAGAAATAACTCCAGATGAGGACACCTCGAGCACGCCTCATACCCGACCAATTGCGCCACCACAAAGATAAAGGACTGCAAAGGATATAAAAACGCCCACATAACTTTTCCTTTCCCATCACGAAGGAAAATAAAAACGATGAATCAACCAAGGAAACATTGCAAAGAACAAAGCCATTACTACTGCCCCGGCGATGTTGGACTATTAACCGACCCGCTCAGATACTCCGCCGGGACCTTGGGCACCCGCGGCGAATGTGCCGTCTGCGCGGCCGCCCGCTGCTGAGCCCGCAGCAGATCTCGCTGTCGTTCCTTCTCTCGACCTGAGGCGGTGCTGCCCGTCAGACGCCGCATCCCGCTCCGAATCATCGACTCCAGAGACGGCGTCACTTCGGAGCCCTTCCGGGATGCCGCTGGCGTGCTACGGGACGATGCGTGGCCCGTCAGCCGGTCGTCAGCGTCCGAGAAACTCTCTTCCACCTCGTCGTCCGAAAAGAAGGTGGTTTCCATCGAACTGTTGGCCGGCGCTGTAGACGACGGGTTCGAGCCGGGCGACGACAGCTGGTTGGCCGGAGACGTCACCGAGCGGTTGTGCATGGCCGGCCGCAGCGTCTGGCCCGCGCCCGTCGCGGAAGCTGGCTGTTGTTGCGCCAGCGGCGGCGACGTCAGGCCCATCATGCCTTCCAGCCGGGTCGGAGGTCGCGACGTCTCCGCCAGGCCATTGTGGAACGACGAGGTCGACGCCGTGCGAGCAAGAGACTTGCGCAAGATCGGGGCCGTCTGCTGGTCATACAGGCTGGCCGTCGTGTCACCAAAACTCGCCCCATAGCCTCGCAACCCGCTATCGGACATCGGCTCTAGAGACGGTGACTGCATCTCTGTCTCCTCAAAGAAATCGTCCAGACTGTCCAGCTTCTGCACAATGTCGCCCATATTGCCGTCCGTCTGGGTATCCACCGACTTCATCGTATCCGCCCGCATAGACGGGAAGTACGAGTCTCCATATTCGTCGGCGTGGAATTCCACTTCGGGCGTCGCAGTCCGCTGGGCTTCCATGCGATCCGCCTCCGCACACGTATAGAAGACCGCATGGACATTGTTGCGAGTGATGGTGGACTGCGCCGCAGGCATGGGAATGGACCAGCCGGTCGGTTCCGGAATCCCGTACAGACTCTGGATCCGTTCGTACTCTTTGCGGATCGCCCGCGACGATGACGACGATGCCATGCTCATCCGGATATGATGGCGTTCCATGGGATTGCCCGAGACCGTCATGATATGGTCCATGACTTCCAACGCCTGCGGACAGAGCTCGGTCTGGAGGAGCCGCAGCAGAGGCGAGATCAGATCCGGGCCGTGGCAGGTGACTTCGGGCCGTCGCATGTCGATCTCCGGGATCAACACACAGAGAATCCTCATCGTCTTGAGGCGGAACCACGTGGTCGTGTTCGTCAAGAGTCCCATCAGGAACACCAGACTCTGCACATCCTGCTGAGGGGCGTAGTACGACCGCAGTTCGGAGATCATATGCTGCAGGAAATCGCGGCTATTCTTCCACTGAGCGTTCGCGAAGCCAACCAAGCAGGCCGCCAGCCGGTCGTGGCCATGCCGCTCCGCCACTTTGGCCAGCAGATTGGCCCGATCCAGGATCTTAGGATCGTTCACTTCCTGGTCAAATTGATAGAGAAAATGGGGCAGGTTGGCCAGCGTCGCAAAGAGTAACCGATTGCTGTCTCCAACCAGTTCATTGTCCGGAAGCCCAGTCAGTCGGTGTAGGAGGCTCAGCGTGCGGTCAAACGCTTCCGAGGACTTCAGCCCTTTGTAGACCAAGTTCTGGATGCCATCAAATCCACCCTCCCACTTTGGAGGCTGACTCTCAATCAGCTTCGCGATCACAGCTGGGTCGCCCATGTCCACCTTGTCCAGGAATTTTTCGAGCATGCCGACACTCTCCATGAACTCTGTTTCGTGTATGGTGTTGAGACATGCACATGTGGTCCAGAAGAGTTGTGGATACCGCATCAGATCCGCTGGGGCCAACGAACTGATAATGACCTTCAGAGTGGTCAAGATCTCCATGGAGAATGTCTGATAATCAGTCTCTTCGTCGGCAATCGTGTTGGACAGTCGGGCCAGCATGTCAGCCAGCATTCGGGAGTCGAGAGAAGTCGAAATGCAGCGGAAGACTTGGAACGATCGGCATGCCAGATGCCGCACAGGACATGAGGTGGCCCAATTCAACGCCTCCTTGGACCAGAGATCGCTGATCCCTTCATAGACAAGACTAAAGAAAGTGACCGCCTGGCGCGTTACGCGAGCCATTGCAGGCGGAACCATGGTGCCATCCTCCTCCTCATCTTTGCTACTATTATCCTCATACTCCCAGACGACCGCCGGATCGCTCTTGCGGATAGATTCCACGAAATCCTCAATAGCTTGTCGAGTACTGGCAGTTGAATCATCATCTGCGATTTTGGAAGCAACCAGCTCGTGAATGAGATGGACAAGCATTTCTCTGGCTTGCTCCTGAACGGTAAGAGTATAATGGTCCCAGAGGATCAGGACCACATGCAGGAGCTTGATGACATCGTCTAGCGCTATTGTCACCGGTGCCACCATCAAGTCGACCAGGAAAATCATGGAGATCTGTCCGAGTGAGAGACCAGCCTAACGACGGCGGTTAGCCACGCAACACAGAAATGAAGAGAATGAGAATGGAGCATACCTGCTTGTTTCCGACCGGTAGCACGGTATTCAGGTCAGCGACATATGGCAGGCCACGAGCGTCAGGCGGAGCGGGGGCAGGATCCCGTCGCTCTTGTACCATGTTCTTTGGGACGACCTGCATCAGGAAGAATTCGATGACTTTGGATCCTGCGGGAGTAGAGGACAGAAACACGACAATCTGTTTGGCATATTCCACAAAGTTCTGCTCTTTACGATCCAGGCAGAGACTGATGATGAAGTCGAGCACCAGTTGCACATTACCCGCATGTGGTCCGGTGGCGAGTGCCTGCCAAAGTGCCTGCACTTCGTTTGGTAATATCGTGCCGCATCGGATCGTGATCTCAAACAGATTGGCAAGTAGCATATATGACTTCGCAGTTGGTCCACCACTCGGTTCCACTTGCAACTCGATCGTCTGTATCCAAGGTAAAATAGCAACGACGATATTTCGCTGGCCATCAGGCTGGAGGTTCCGGAAGTGTAAGCAGAATTCGGAGAATATCGTGAAAGCAAGGTCCGAATGCTGCTTCGCCAGCCGCTTGGACGTTTCAAACTGCGCGAGCTTATAGACCGCTGTCGTCTTGTCAGAAATGCTGATGTCGAAATCCTGTAGCCGAGAACTCTTCTGCTGCCGTTCCTCGAGTATTCGTAGAAGCCGCGCGGATTTCATCCGAATCTCTCGCTTCTGATTTCCCAAGGTATAGAGAACCGCCCCCAGAATTCTCCAAAAGGCCAGCGGGTAGTTTGCGTGCTCAGTGAGCACTTCGGTTACCACTTCAAAATAACTTTCAAGGGCCTTCGGTCGCTCCGACACGTAGCACATCTCCACTGATCGTTCCAGCAGATAAGGATACTCCTTATTGTGAACAATCAGATTCTTCAGGGCGCGTCGACCGATGCTATGCCACTTGTCACTGATAGTGTTGAAAATGATGTCAATCCAAGTCAGCATTCGGCCCACATCGAACTGCAAAACAGAGCCGCTCTCCGTTGTTATACTAATCGGACCCGCCTACAAATGTGTCAGTCGTCAAGGTACCGTCAAATTGCTTCAAAAGGACTCCTTACGCAAAGGGAAGCCATCGCGCTCAGTGCCGCAGCTCGCAGGTTCTTCTTTTCAATTTCCATGGCGGCGGCCGTGATTCGATATTCGCCCGTCTCGTGCTGCTGTGCGATGGCATATTTTCGCATGTTCTCCTCCCGTTGAGATATTTGCGCCTGATTTGGTGAATAGCCACACCAGTCCTCCATCAAGGAAAAGGCCGATTTGCGGGATTCAAATGGCATCCAGCGAGATGGGTCCTTGGTACGGTTAATGCCTTCGAAGAGCTCTTCCATGAGACCACAGTAGTGGTAACGTAGTTTCTGAAATTCCCAGTCGTTTTGTACCTCCACGTCACTCAGAAATATCCGTAGATCCTTTGTGTATGTGACGAGGTTATTGACAATCCAGTCATCATTATACACTTCGGGTTCCTTGAGGAAATGCGATGTCAGCTTGTAAACGTGCGTGACCTCGGTGCGTAGACGATCGGTCTTCCGGTTCCGACGGGGACTGCTCGGGGTACGATGATGACCGCCCATCCGAAGTTTGGCTTCTTCATTACACGTCGTCACCGCGTACTGCAATGACTCGAGGAGGGTCCGATAAAGGTTCTTGTTGATAGAACCTAATGCGACCACTATAGCGTTCCTGATAGAGTCCAGCGAAGCAGACAACAGAGGGATCACAAAAGCGAAGAGAGCTCTGGCAGAGGTGATTTTGTCTTGACCTTGTTGTGCTCCTCTCGAGGCCTTGCGTGCGTGTTGGGCGTTGGCTAACTGGCTCTGAGATTGAGCTCCGACGCTATTCAATGTTGTGCAGGCCATGACCAGATAGAGCTTCCACTGCTCGACCAGAATCTCAGCGGGTGTGACACCTCGGCCCATAGTCCGTCCCTGAACAGGATCCAGGGGTGCATACTGTGGTGGGCGAGGACTCTCTGCCAGCGCAGTAATAGACTTGTGCATTTGCACTAGCCTCGCACACACGATTTCTCTGGCGAGTGTGACTGCAAAGGGGCAAGTATCGAAGCTGACGCGGATGATGTTGGGGAAAACCTTGGACCAGAGAGTCGAGTCGTATGACACTTCACTGCTGCACAGCTCGATCAATGTATTATGCGACGCACTCTTTCTCTTGCCTTTCTGTAATCTACTCCTCTCCGCCACAGTGAGTTGTTCATCATTCAGGTCCATTATTTGCTGGGAATCTGCCTCCAGGATGCGAATTATCCTGGTATTTTCCTTCCCAAGCGCACGATCAAATTCAGTGACCAGCCGCAGCACGGTGATCGCGAACGAACGCACTCTCCGAGACTGGGAGCACAGAAAGAACAGACCGTGAGCCTCGATCTCTTCCACATAGGCAAGAACACTGGACAAATCGAGCTGCAAGGCCCTGCTGCCGGAGCCACCGCTTTTGTCCGAGGAATCGAGCCCCGCCTCCTTAGTCTTCTGTCGGATTTCCTCAATCCATATGCGAAGCAGCTCTACGTAAAGCGTCAACGTCGACTCGATGTGGCCCGGCCCCAGCATGCCTTCGTCTGACATGGTCGAGTACCGCGCGTCGAAATTGAAAATGAAACGAGCAAAACCGATGGTTACCTGTTGCGCGTGCATTTGTCGCGCAATCGATTTCAACGATTCGGCGGAAGATGCGGCGATGTTGGATTGGACGTGGGCTGTCCCCGTGCAGAGGAGGTTGATCAGCGAGTTGAAGGGGATATGATCCGATAAGCACCGGGGCAGAGCTTGCACTGCCACATGGAGGAGATCGTAAAAACTCTGTTTCTGGTCAGGCCCAGCTGAATGATCATCGCGTCGCGCAAAACTGAAGGCTTCCGAAATAGGCGTCTTGGGAGTGGCGCCGCCGAATTTCTCATCGAGGGCGGCCTGACCGCCGAAAGCATTGTCACAAAGGATAGTAATCTTCCCCAAGATCTCACAAAATCGAATGTAATACTCCTTTGCAACATCGTTGAGCTTGGATGTGTTCACGGGACGCGACAAGGACTCATTGGTCCCGCCTGAAGCCTTCGGTTTTGGTTCGGCTAAGAGCTGTGGCCGCGGGGGAAGGGGAGAATTCGGGACGTCAACAAAATGCTGGTTCGATACAGATCCCTCCGGGAATGGGAGATATAATTGATCGCCATTTTCCATATCGGAGATGACAGCGAGAAACGAGCGAATGCCAATCACCATCTTCTCTGGTTCCATCTGCTCAATCTTGAGCTCTTTCCCGGACAAAAACAGATCCGAGTTAATCAGGGGAAATATGATACTACGGAAACATAACTCGGGAAGCTTGAAACCGATCATCCGGATGAGCTGAACCAATGGCTCTGCCACTGCTGGTTCGGTTGTGAGATAGGTTCTTCGCCCCGGCGGCAGTGCTATCTTCACAACCTCCTCTACTCTCCTCAGAGTCACATTGTGGGGATCGGGATAGCGGAACAGGTAGGTCCAGAGCAATTGACACAAGGCCTGAAGTGCTAGGCCCCGAGTCGGACGGTCTTTCAACTTGGCTGGGAGACTCATGGCCAATGAGAGCCATTGGGAGGAGAAGACATCCTTCGACGAAACGCAGAGCAACAGGGTATGTAGAGGGAACACGGTCATCCAGTGCCGAGGTTTGGCCAGCATCTGCGACAGACGAGGAGTGATCAAATCCAAGAATTCCTTCCATCGAGGAAGGGCGAGATCGCAAGCCGGGTTAGCCGCGACTGGATGTAGTAGCTTCTCAAAGATATAGCAGTACGCCTGCTTGACTCGCTGGCCATGAGCATTCACGAACAGTCGAGCCAAGGACCGCATAAAGTCGCACGACTTGCTCCAGGCTTCTTCGGGGTAAGTCTTGATGCAAAGATGCCTCATTCCCAAGACCAACAATTCCACCTTGGCTTCTATTTCCCTGGACGGGCCCCGGAGAGACTCTTCCTTTTGATAACGTTCCAGCTCGGTGAGAAACCGATTTGTGACGCTCGTGAAGTTGTTCTCACTCATGATGCCCAGGAGTTGACCATAGATTCTCCAGTTAGCCATCCGTAAGGATGACGCTGCGATCTGATCGGGATCCACCGTTTTGAGCTGACCAAACACAATGTCCTCCAGCCGGTCCGCCATTTCAGGTGTGATCGCAGCTAAGCTGCTTTGGTTGAAAATCTCAATCAGAACCCTGCAGACCAGGTAGACCGACACCGTTGCCCGCCGCTCGGCGAGGACGACCTCGTCTTGTCTCGGTACTAATGAAGGCGGGGGCTGGGAGGCATCACCACTTGGACCGGTCTCTCCGCCACTAGAATGCGTAGGTTCCGTATTGCGACGCGGAAGCAGTCCGTTTTCCAAGGAATGTGACTTCTTTTTATTCCAGTTTACCGGTCAGTCATCGAGAGACATCCAATCGACGGATCGGATCTAGGACCTACCTGAGAAGCCATCTGTTTCGCCATGACGGCGGCCTCACCTTTCGCCTTGCGCCATAGCATAATTGTATCGATCAATGGCTTTGGCTTTTGGCGGGCAATATGACCCAGAGCAGAAATAAGCTGATCGAAAGCTGGGTCTGCTCCCGCGCCGCAAACCTCCTCGACCGGTGCCTCGACCTCACCCACTTTCATTATGCTCTGGTTGATTTTGCTATCCGCTTGACCGACAAACTGGAAACCCCAACATCAGCCAGGAAGAAGTAGATCACGCGCACGACGAGGAGGACCCTTACCGAATTGAAGAGATGATGCAACGCATACTCCCCCACTGTCTTGGACTCCTGGTGATGATGTTTCGAGTGCGAGCGGGAGTGATCCCGCCGCGATTTCCCGTTGGACAGCATCTTTCTATGCGTAGGATTTTTTGGATGCCCGTTAGCCTTAGTCGTTTCCCCAGAATCGTCATCTTCAATGGTACTCAAGCCGCTGGGCTGGACGTGCCCCGTCGCACTGCTTCCTGCATTGGTGTAGGTTGGATGCAACTCGGATTGATCCGGACGACCAGAGGATGGCAAATCTGGCCCTGGAGCGCCGTTGTTGGTACTATTCAGACCGACGGACGCGATGATTTCGGGGCTCAATGGACTCGCAGTTGTAGCCGAAGTTGCAAAGCTGGGGTCTCGCGAGTGCTGGATGCCATGCACAATGGACGTCTTGCGATGATGCCCGTAGGATACCGACGGCTTCCTCTCGATCGGTCCCTCATGCCCTGACGCTCCAGCAGGACGAGCAGCGGTCGATTCGGGGCTTTTCGAATGAGACTGAGCACGACGGCTGGACTGGGGCGGGATCGTAGGAACACCCAGCGTCGATGTATCAGCCGGGCGGCCCCTGGGAACGGAGGTAGAGGGCTCCCTGCTATGGGGACCAGTGAGACCAGGAGATGAGGCGTTCCTGACGGCGAGCCTATCCGGCGGAGAGGTGGGATTATGGTGCGTCGGGACTGGAGACTCGTCGGGGCCGAGGGGCATCGTTGGCTGAAGGGCAGCTGCCCGGGAGGGATAGGAGCTCGCTGCATATGAAATGAGAGTTAGATATGCATCGTCGTGGACAGAAATCGGCGGGGATTTGTGGCCAGATGCAAAGGTGTGACAGCGGAGGGTCAAGGCGGAGACGGGCTTCCAAGGGCGACTCACGGGTATGCTGCATCTTCAACGACGGCGGCCACCGCTCACAGGGAGGAGGAAGGGCCACGAGTGGACAGAGCAATCTTCATGCCTCTGATCGGTGCCCATCACGGGCCTGCAGGCTGATCACAGAGCAACAAGGACGCTGGACAGGTGGTTTGAAGCGAGCTATGCAAGAGGTGAGCTTGTCGGGCACAAGCCGTCTGTCACGACCCTATCGCCGGCTCCACCAGCGGACCAGCCTTCGCTCCGCGACCTTCGAAGGCCATCGACCGCGCCCGCCCTAGTCGTGTCTGGCAGGTGGCTTCTCCGTGTTTGCGCGTGGTAATTAATCTGCAGCAGGCACGCTCCCTGGCCCAATGATGGCGTTCTTGCCCCTGGCAGCGCGAGCAGTCCCCAGAGCGCAGGCGCAACACGGCGATTCTTCTCGAAGACTGCTCCATCGCCCTTGCTCCATCGGCCCTGGAATGGCCAGACAGGCTCTGGAGAACAGCCAATCGATCTTCCAGCGTCCATTGAGACGTTATGATTCGCCCGTATTCACCATACCTCGACTATACACCCGTGGACAGAAGCATCGATCTCCTTTTTGCACCCTGTCACGTGCTTCAATGATATTAGGTAAGGGATATGGCGAGAGCATGGCAAAGAATTCTAAGTAGGGATTACATAGTTAGGAGGCTGCGATAAATATAATAAAAACTATATAGAAAGACTATATAGTACCTATTACAGGAATGTGGTGAGGAATAGGCGGCGAGCCCGACTGGAAAGTAGAAAATAGAGACCATACGGTAGAAGGCTCTTGACATAGAACTGTTTTTTTTTTCGCTTTAAACAGTGAAGGTAAGACCTCCATGCAAGGCTTGTTTATTATTAATGACAAACGGCCATCAACCCCTCCATTAGATTCCGATTTTCCGATCAGTAGTGCTATTCCAGCGTGCAATATCACAGGATAACATTCCCAGTACAATTGATAAATGACTTCCCACCTTTTTTCTTTTTTTTTGTTCAGAGAAAACATTCCATTGAGCTCAATTAATTGCGTACGTACAGTCCATAGCACCAAGGCCTGACACATGATTTACCGGGCTGACCAACCGTAATTAAGCAAGATTCTCACCTCCGAAGCTGTGTCACAACATGGCTCAACATCAAAATTGACGTAGATTGATGGTTGCATCTACATTCCTGATCCTCGCAATCTAGCAATGGTCGTGGCCTTTCATTATGATATCTGCCCAAGCTTTGCTACCCATCCAGAAGCGCACAATCAGGAGATCAACATGGATAGATTCAACTACTATATGGAGCACTCAGCTCGATAGATCTAGATCATCATAAGGATCCTCGATTTGTGGAAATCTAACTGGTTTATGTAGACTATCTCTTTCTTTCAATGACTGGAATTCATCTCCATACACGACGATAGTATATAAATTCGCGATTTCATATAATTATAGTCTGATCGCCCAAGCACCGATTCTCAAAGGTTACGATTAAAATACGTTGTAGTTCTTGAAGCCCAATAAGAACGCAAACTGTGCATGCCGTCGACGGCTCTAATTCTTCCATTTTTATAAATTTCTACTTTAATTTTTTAGTGTGTAGACCTGTCGCGTGCAACTTCGTTTGTAGCCACACAGAGCTAGATTTCGGCTGACTCAATCAACCATACCCAATTGAAACTCCTGGAGGGACTCCCCACGGAATAATACAAAGGCACATGCGGAACGGCGGAATGAGTTCTCTGTGTGGGGTCTGGAATGATGCGGAAGTCTGCGATCCGAAGGCTGACCTCGTTCACACCATCACGGAATCCCCTCCGTATGTAGGTCCACAAAAGGCGTTTCTATGTACTGTACAGTCAGTGCATAGGTGGGGTGATTAGATAACCTGGGTAGAGGATGAATTGATATTGCTCAAACAATCAAGAATTGCAGGAATAATGGGGGTTCTATCGAATCTGCTGATAAGGTACTGAGGCTCATTAATTGCCACTTCGCCCCCCCCCCCCCCCCCCCCCCAAAAAAAAGACGAAATCACACCGACTCGAGGCCCCAACAGAATCGTTTTGTTGAGGTGCAGCCGTGACAGCACTGCAGTGCCAAAGACATGGAATTAAAGAAGTGAACTATGTGGTTAACCAGGCCAGAGGTTCCAAGTTGCCGGTACAAGATGCCGTATTGTAAAGGGTCCTGTCGTAACCTCGGGCAAGGACGTACTTGCTACCATTCCATTAACTCTATTCCTTATTTCTTCCCAGCAAGAATTCAACACATCGTGGACGTTAGGAGTTGGAGATGGATCAGTCTGTTTATAGTGCAGGAGTATGTAGTACCGTACTGTACATATATACCTGCGTAAAGCGAACTCCTAGGAATCACGTCAGATGCAAAACACCCCAACTCTCCGCATCAGAGCCGTGCCTCATCCTCACCGGCCATCGGAGAGAGTGACGGTGTTCCCATGCTTATGTGGGGAGGCCTCATCCGAAACTCAAACCCCATCCTCGGGTGGGATCTTGACGCCCGCGGCCCTTGGGTCTTGTGAGGAACACGACCAACAACCAAACAGGGAGTAGTTCTGGTAATTAGAGTCCTCACTGATCCTCCATCTTCGATCATCGTTGTGGAGCGGGAGCGGAGTCCTTGGCTTCCTGAGCCCAAATTGCCTTCTACGCGGGCCGTTACTGTGGCCGTTCTCGCTGCGCCGCCTCCTTACCTAGGTACATGCTGTGTTCTCTGGACGCAAGCCTCTCGTCGGAACCAAACAGAATCCCCCACGGAGGAATTCCCTATCCGAATTCCTACTCCGTGCCTTCAGCATTGCCGGCGCTGACCGCGTGAGTGCACCC